GTTGCCCGATAGAAAAAGTTCAAGTGTATGATTTGTCGAGACCTACAAAACAAGTTGTTTTCATTGAATTAACGAAAGTTTCTTTTTTGCGTCCTCTGTCATTAGTGCACAGTGGTTCGCGTCTAGCAAGAAATTGTATTTACACCCAGAGGACGTCCGAACTTCCTGTATGCAAATGTACTTCATATATTTTCAGATCAAATTACATCATTTGATAGCACTTAGATGGAAAGAAGTCAGCATGTACGTTTTCCTAGTCGGTTTCATAAGTCAAAAAAAAAAAGAAATCTGATTACTCTTACTTGATTTTCATCAGTATATATTGATGTTTGATTGAGCGTTGGCGTGATTTTGAATTTATTTTGAAGAAATTCAAGTGATTGAATCTGATTAGACCTGAGATCGAGTACGCGCAATTGTTGATGCAACCATCGGTCTTCGATAAACGTCAAGCGATTGTTGGATACATTGAGATACTCAAGTTGAATATTTTCATTAATAATTAAAGGTAAACTTTCAAGTTGATTGTTTGCTAATGATAAATGAGTCAATTTAGTCAATGAGATCAGCAATGGTAAAATCGACGATTGTAAGATGTCACAATCGGTTAGATCAAGATAAGTTAAATGAGGCGGTAAAGACGAAAGTTGAATTCGTTTATTGTGTCGTAGACTAAGGCCGATAAGATGTTGTTGAACACGATGATTACCGAAATTAATCTCAATCAAATCTGGATTATTATCAAGATCAAGATATTTCAGATTTGACGGTAATGGAAATGCTAGAAGAAATGTCGATAACGAATTAGAACTTAGATCAAGTCTTTCAACTGATGACGGTAATGAGAATGGTAATTGAGCAAGGGTAGACAGTTGACATGAATTGAGTTTGAATGTTTGCATTGTATAGTTTGATGATAAGGATGGCGGTGGCAAACTTGTGATTATCAGCGTGTGTGCAATACAAACTTGTTTTTCTTGTTGATGGTTTTGATATTCAACTGTAATTGTACACTGTTCGGGAATTCGATCATTCGGTAGAAGAATTCGATTGAGAGAGTTTTTATGAGTTGTACAAGTCCATTCGGAGGCGAGACTTTGATCGATGGAAAGTAAAACGAATAAAATAATTTCGACTCTCATTTTTTGATTATTATCTAAAAAAGAATAGTAATCAATTTTCTATGAGGCGGAAGTTATGCTTTCACATCATATATACATATACACACACAAAGAATGAAATGAGAAGAGAAGAGAAGAGAAAAAAAGGTTGGCAATTCCTATTAAAAAGTCTCTCTATGTATTTGAACAATGCAATTGCTCTCTACTCGTTTCTAACAGAGTAATTACACGCACTGCATGCTTGCACGTCGTCCTCATGCATACATATACATACAATAGCAAGATAGATTAATTCAAATAGCCTTACGCAATAGCAGGAAAGATGATGGTAGTGATAATAATAGTGATGAAAACATTTTTATTAATATGGCCTGAGTAGTGCTGTTGTTGTTTGGAGTAATGCTACGTCGTCAATTAGAAGTGCCGGAAGAAAGCACCTTGTCGATGGTGTTTGATTGCATCATGCATCAAACATATATACACGGATATATATATATTATAAAAAAAGTCGATAATACTAATCGATGGTAAAAGAGAAAGAGAGTAAACGTCGAGGAAAGCTCCCAGTGACCTTGATTAACAACCACTTGTTCTCTTCGGGTTTTTTCTGTCTCTCTCCCTCTCTTCCTCTTATCTTTGCAATCCAATCAACAGCGACGATATATGTCGGTTGTTCAAAGACGTACTATATCCTATCTATATCCATCAGTTCTAATGACAATAATAGTTAGTGAATCTAATTGACGAAGATCTGAAATCTTCTTTTCTCTCTCTCTCTCGCATTCTATTATTCCAATACAGTATAAATGATGCTGATGATTGTGTTTACATGTAGACGAATGATATTTTATGCGAAACCTCTGATTAGAAGAGCAAACTTGTTGTCTGTGAATGCGTCTGTCTGTGCGTTCTTACGTTTCTACATATATGTTGATGAACAACATATAGCCATCAAAACCTAATCATCACATCAAGCAGAGAGCAAACACAACAATACACGCTAGAGAGTAAATGAGTAAATGGGGAAATGAAGTGCAAAGACAATGATTCCCTATTGAATAGCACTCGTTATCTGAACAAGAAGAAAATTGAAAGAAAACGTGTGTATCATTTGCAAATGAGAGCGTGAACCGTAACAGCAATTGTCTTGATGATTAATCTCAAGAGAGCTGTTCATTCGTTTGAAGTCGTATCATTATTAGATTGTGCTTTTTGACATACACAGTCCTCGTTTTTTTTTCCTGCTCTTTTCGAATGCCCATTAAGATCCCAATTGTTCTTCGAAGAAAAGACGATGACGACTTCCGCTTTAACCATCTGCTTGACCTCACTTTTTTCTTCATAGTGATACACTATGTACATGTATGTATATGTCGATGACTTGCTCCTCTCCCCCTCTCTCTCTCCTTCGTTCTCTATTCCTCGTGCAGACGATGCCATTAAATGACTATTCACTGACACTTCTTATGCGAAGGGCTCATCCACAACAATTGAGAGAAATAAATTAAATTTAAACTTTTCAATTGTAAGTGAACGATGCGAATGGCAACTATGCTTAGTCCTTATAAGGCTGCGCATATAATCGACATGCGTCAATGTATAAACAAATGCTGTGCGANGTTGCCCGATAGAAAAAGTTCAAGTGTATGATTTGTCGAGACCTACAAAACAAGTTGTTTTCATTGAATTAACGAAAGTTTCTTTTTTGCGTCCTCTGTCATTAGTGCACAGTGGTTCGCGACTAACTAGAAATTGTATTTACACCCAGAGGACGTCCGAACTTCCTGTATGCAAATGTACTTCATATATTTTCAGATCGAATTACATCATTTGATAGCACTTAGATGGAAAGAAGTCAGCATGTACGTTTTCCTAGTCGGTTTCATAAGTCAAAAAAAAAAAAGAAATCTGATTACTCTTACTTGATTTTCATCAGTGTATATTGACGTTTGATTGAGCGTTGACGTGATTTTGAATTTATTTTGAAGAAATTCAAGTGATTGAATCCGATTAGACCTGAGATCGAGCACGCGCAATTGTTGATGCAACCATCGGTCTTCGATAAACGTCAAGCGATTGTTGGATACATTGAGATACTCAAGTTGAATATTTTCATTAATAATTAAAGGTAAACTTTCAAGATGATTGTTTGCTAATGATAAATGAGTCAATTTAGTCAATGAGATCAGTAATGGTAAAATCGACGATTGTAAGATGTCACAATCGGTTAGATCAAGATAAGTTAAATGAGGCGGTAAAGACGAAAGTTGAATTCGTTTATTGTGTCGTAGACTAAGACCGATAAGATGTTGTTGAACACGATGATTACCGAAATTAATCTCAATCAAATTTGGATTATTATCAAGATCAAGATATTTCAGATTTGACGGTAATGGAAATGCTAGAAGAAATGTCGATAAAGAATTAGAACTTAGATCAAGTCTTTCAACTGATGACGGTAATGAGAATGGTAATTGAGCAAGGGTAGACAATTGACATGAATTGAGTTTGAATGTTTGCATTGTATAGTTTGATGATAAGGATGGCGGTGGCAAACTTGTGATTATCAATGTGTGTGCAATACAAACTTGTTTTTCTTGTTGATGGTTTTGATATTCAACTGTAATTGTACACTGTTCGGGAATTCGATCATTCGGTAGAAGAATTCGACTGAGAGAGTTTTGATGTGTTGTACAAGTCCATTCGGATGCGAAACTTTGATCGATGAAAAGTAAAACGAATAAAATAATTTCGACTCTCATTTTTTGATTATTATCTAAAAAAGAATAGTAATCAATTTTCTATGAGGCGGAAGTTATGCTTTCACATCACATATATATACACACAAAGAATGAAATGAGAAGAGAAGAGAAAAGAAAAAAAGGTTGGCAATTCCTATTAAAAAGTCTCTCTATGTATTTGAACAATGCAATTGCTCTCTACTCGTTTCTAACAGAGTAATTACACGCACTGCATGCTTGCACGTCGTCCTCATGCATACATATACATACAATAGCAAGATAGATTAATTCAAATAGCCTTACGCAATAGCAGGAAAGATGATGGTAGTGATAATAATAGTGATGAAAACATTTTTATTAATATGGCCTGAGTAGTGCTGTTGTTGTTTGGAGTAATGCTACGTCGTCAATTAGAAGTGCCGGAAGAAAGCACCTTGTCGATGGTGTTTGATTGCATCATACACCAAACATATATACACGGATATATATATATATATATTATAAAAAAAAGCCGATAATACTAATCGATGGTAAAAGAGAAAGAGAGTAAACGTCGAGGAAAGCTTCCAATGACCTTGATTAACAACCACTTGTTCTCTTCGGGTTTTTTTCTGTCTCCCTCCCTCCCTCTCTCCCTTTCTGTTATCTCTGCAATCCAATCAACAGCGACGATGTATGTCGGTTGTTCAAAGACGTACTATATCCTATCTATATCCATCAGTTCTAATGACAATAATAGTTAGTGAATCTAATTGACGAAGATCTGAAATCTTCTTTTCTCTCTCTCTCTCTCTCTATTATTCCAATACAGTATAAATGATGCTGTTGATTGTGTTTACATGTAAGCGAATGATATTTTATGCGAAACCTCTGATTAGAAGAGCAAACTTGTTGTCTGTGAATGCGTCTGTCTGTGCGTTCTTACGTTTCTACATATATGTTGATGAACAACATATAGCCATCAAAACCTAATCATCACATCAAGCAGAGAGCAAACACAACGATACACGCTAGAGAGTAAATGAGTAAATGGGGAAATGAAGTGCAAAGACAATGATTCCCTATTGAATAGCACTCGTTATCTGAACAAGAAGAAAATTGAAAGAAAACGTGTGTATCATTTACAAATGAGAGCATGAACCGTAACAGCAATTGTCTTGATGATTAATCTCAAGAGAGCTATTCATTCGTTTGAAGTCGTATCATTATTAGATTGTGCTTTTTGACATACACAGTCCTCGTTTTTTTTTCTGCTCTTTTCGAATGTCCATTAAGATCCCAATTGTTCATCGAAGAAAAGATGATGACGACTTCCGTTTTAACCATCTGCTTGACCTCACTTTTTCTTCATAGTGATACACTATGTACATGTATGTATATGTCGATGACTTACCCCTCTCTCTCCTTCGTTCTCTATTCCTCGTGCAGACGATGCCATTAAATGACTATTCACTGACACTTCTTATGCGAAGGGCTCATCCACAACAATTGAGAGAAATAAATTAAATTTAAACTTTTCAATTGTAAGTGAACGATGCGAATGGCAACTATGCTTAGTCCTTATAAGGCTGCGCATATAATCGACATGCGTCAATGTATAAACAAATGCTGTGCGACACACAGATCTGTTCAAAGAAAAGAAAAGGGAGACAATGGACGATACAGACGAATTCGTTCTGGACTTTCGCGTGACGACAGCTGCGCCTGCATATGCTCGGACAAACGATGTTTAAATGACTCAATTGACACTATATGTATTGATCTGAATGACAGAAAACATGACCGTAAATACCCTAGGGTGCGCCCTATTCTGGTTTTGACTGACGTGAACAAAACGAATTTGTGTTCTGCATTGAATCAATAAGATATATTTTTCTGTCGTAATACTAATAGGAACAAAAAATAACCTTGTCAAAAGAAGTTTTCAATGAGGGGAACAAAGAATACGGGTATGATTGACAGTTTATCGTACATGAAAAGACCGGTTCTTACATTCAAGAACAACTGATTGTTCTTTGATCAGTTTCAATCGATTGATTGCATTCGAATACACACATAAGGGAATGATATACATATATATATATATATATTCATAGAATAATCGCACCTCGCTTACGTTGATGTTACGAACGCTCATGTCATTGATCATAGTACTGTGATTCATATATGATTCGAAAAGAAAGGAGAAAGCGAGGGAAGGAGATCAAGTCAAATTAGATCAATACTCGATCATGGATAGTTTTAATGAAGAACAACTACATATGCGTAAATGAATTAGGAGACTGCCAGTGAACCCACCTGTTCGATCCTTGTTTCTGACAGCAGTCAATCAAATACACGATCGTTATTTTCGAACTGACCTCTCTCTTTCTTCCTTTCGTTAGTAATTCGATCCACTGATACAAAAAAAAAACGAAAATGAAACGAAGAAAATGTAACAATACATTCATACATACACATATCTAATGATTATTATAATACCTCTCGTTTATTCACCAAAACTGATGAATTGTGTTGGACACAAAAGATGGAAGAAAAACAGACAAAATCGAAGAAGGAGAGACGGAGGAAAAAGATGCATGTGTCCAAGAACTATGGACAAACAGACTTACTTTATAGTCACATCATCAAATCAATCGAGCAAGAAAGATTGCATGCGCGTTCATTATTAAAATGTAAATACGTCCACATCGTACATTCGCTTGCTTTATAATGTATGTATATTCGTATTACTACTGTGTCGTCGTAGAATGACTGACACACAAAGGAAGATGATTTTTTAACATGGTCTTTTTCTCCTCCTTCTTCCGTTCATTCATCGTCTCCTCTTTTTTTCTCTCTCTCTCTCTTCGTTCCTCTGTCTCTTGCCTGCTGTTCAATCGTTATAAGGAGTGTGTCAATCATTGCCATTCGAGTGCCAAATAGACGTACATACACACATGTATATTTTCTCTCTTCTCAAATATCTGAAGGGTGCATGTGACAGTAACATTAGCTTACGTATTTTGAGTCCATCGTCCTAGTGATGATACATAGCGTGCTGTTAGATCATTAAAAGTTTGTGGTCAATTGGANCTTTCAGATACCGATACCATGCAGCATTTGTGTTCATCTTAAATAAAAAAAAATATGATTCGTTTTTTTTTCTAAACTCATCCGACTGATGAAAAGTCCGTTGGTTCGTTTATTTTTTCTTATGAAATCCATCTGTAGGAACATCGAACGTTTTAACAATGAATCAAACGTTGACATGCGATTCGAATGGATGTCAAAAATAAACTATATCATGAATAAAAAATGATGGGTGACTGAATGAGATAAAAAAAACTGTACGATCATGATTATGCAATTTGAGATACATATCCATTCTCATCAACGACGACGTCGTTAGAAAATAATCAACGTTCAGTTGATTAAAGTTTGTTTTTCGGTGTAGCTTGTCAGTGAAACGTCTGGCAAGTTGCTAAATATAGAACCATTCAGTTTCATTAGGGATAATTAGGACAGAATAACGTGTAATTGTCATGCAATTTGATTCTCATTAGCAAAAGGCATGAAAAATTTTGTAGATCATTTGCTTGCTGAAATAGTTTCTCAATAGAACTTTTATTTTCAAATAAAAACTCGCAGGATACATGGAAATATTAAGACATGCACACATGAAAACATACCGTATTGACTTCGACGGATGCTAATCATTTCCTTCAAACATGAACATGCACATGTAGACAGACAAACACAAATATATGTATCTATTGAAGTAAAAGACGAGTGTATATGTGGGATTGGATAAGAAGATTGAATGAGGATGGATAGTTTTGAGAGAAGGAAAGTAATTTGCTGACTAGGTAGATGAAATCGTTCTCATTCGAATATAGAATTGCGTTTCGAGCTCGAGTAATTTGAAAAAAGCGAGAAGAATTTGTGAGATTTTGTTGTTTGGAAAAACCAGTCGAAGAAAGGATATTTAGAGTTTTTTATTTTTGATCATTTGGAAGGAAAAGATCACTTTTGATCATCATCAACATCTTGAACTTCATTGTTGCCATTGTCATTATCACCAGGCATGTCTGTTGTCCATAGAGTCAAATTGTCTCGTAGAAGTTGCATAATCAATGTTGAATCTACAAGAAAGATTTTTTCTTACAAAATCAATCACAGATCCTTCAAACCTTTATAAGTATCTTCGTTTAATGTTTCTAATTCTGCAATTGCATCATCAAATGCCTAGAACGAGAAGCAACGTGAATTTTCTTTGTCAAAGGCAACAAATCGACGTACTTGTTTAGCTAATCGGCAAGCGCGATCCGGTGTATTGAGAATCTCATAGTAAAATACAGAGAAATTCAATGCTAGACCAAGTCGAATAGGATGTGTTGGTGGTAACTCATTTTGTGCAATATCATTTGCTTTTGTATATGCAACAAGAGAATTCTCTGCGGCCTCTTTTCGATCTTCTTGCGTAGCGAATTCGGCTTTATAACGATGATAATCACCTTTCATTTTTAAGTAGAAAACTTTGCTTTCGCCTGACGTTGCATTCGGAATAAGATGTTTATCAAGTAAATCAAGAATGTCTTGACTAATATCACGCAATTCTTTTTCGATCTAAAGTTAATGAGTTTTTTATTGAGCAATTCGTGCTTCTGATGAGCGAACGAACAAACCTGAGAGCGATATTTCTTCGTCAGTGGTAGTTTACTTGTTTCCGATTTGCTTTCTTCTCTACTCTCGATGTTACTTATGATGCGCCATGATGCTCGTCGTGCACCGATTAAGTTCTTATACGCAACAGAGAGTAAATTTCGCTCTTCAACAGTTAATTCTTGATCGGTTTTGGCAACTTTCTTCATTGATTCAACCATTTCTATTGACGAATGAATAATTAATGAATAGGAAACAACTAGATAGGGGCATTATACCTTCGTAACGTTCAGCTTGTTCAGCTAACTTAGCTTGATAAACATCGTCGTCACGTGTAGCAGGCATGATCGTGAAAAAGAACTATGAAGAGAATAATCGAAGGAGAATCGATCAGACAAGTGTTAAACAGACCGCAGAAATGCTAAACAAAAGAAGAATGTTGGTTGACTAGGAACCATCTTGTTTCGCTGAACAATTCACTCCTAATGAATTGAATAATGCGGAAGAGATAAGGAAAATTCTGTGAAGGTGTTCGTTTCATTTCAGAAACAATTGACAAACAAATTTATGAATAAAATTTCATTTATTTGCAGAAGAAGTTTTTAAAAAGGACATCTGCAGATGGCAGGAGGAGTTGTGCCAGAGGGAAATTTCCATTTGTCTGTATAATTAGCTCGTTACATTTTGACATGGTTGTAATAATCCAGTAGGTTTATTTGTTTGACAAAGTTTTTCATACTTATCTTTCTCCTGTTGAGAAATTTCAATTGCCTTCGGATTCGAACATACATCAGTTTTATTTTTTATATTTCGTATGTTCAATTCCATACGAATCATATGACCGAATTTATATTGAGGATCATGTGGCTCAGGATATCCATTCAATTTGAAATCGTTACATAGAAAACCACAGGCATCGTAGAGTCGTTGCGCTCGACAGTTTTCATAATTGGCATGCAATTGAATATAAACATAGTTGTTCGCTTTCATCTGGATGGAATGGTGTTGACAATGATCTTTTTGTAGTTTTCTTTACGGAAAATCACTTACCACGTGATTGATGAAGTGATTGAGAAGAACGGAACCTAAGCGATGTTGGCGATCTTCGAGTAGTACACTGATGAAACATACGTATGGATGTGGTAATTGCGGTGATGGATATTTCAGTGTACCGAATATCATCGCTCGCCAATCTTCAGGATGATCGATCGAGGTTAATGCAAACATAATCGGACAATTTGGAAGATACCGTTCGTAATTTGATGTGTTGAACAGCGATCGACGTAGGAAATTACCTAGAAGCTTATACTGTTGACCGGGATTTCGCTTGGGTAGAATATTCAATTGATATAATTCGTAATGATCACGATAGATATTCTTATTAACACGAGTATAGTGAATATGCGTTGGATTATCTAGTAGAAAACAAATATTTCTGTGTTTTCATATCAAAAACGGATACTTTTCTCTGAGAGATTTTTCACCAAGAGTATTGTTGTAGGAATAACAATAATTAGAAAGATGATTACGCCAATAAGAATTGCCACTATGTATGGCCTGCTCGATTTATTTTTGTTTTCATCGTCTACTATGTTTAATGAAGAATTCATACAAACTTATAGATGATAATTGAACAGAATGGGTTTTGACTAAAAGTTTTTTCGCGCAATAAAAAATATCTCTCGTAATGCAATCGAAAAATACAATTATCAGTTCGATTGCTAGTTGAAAGAACTACGATGAACAAAAACAATGAATACTTGCTATATGAGGTGATGGTGAATAAATCAAAGATGAGGTTTTATTTTGCTAAAACATGAAAAAACGAATAAGAATGAAACACATCAAGAAATGAAATTTGTAATCTGACTGGAATAGTCCGAAAGAAAACGAATGAATGGTTTAATCAGAGTTAGTGTTAAATGATTCTATCTAATAGACGAGCTGTTGAGACAATGGATTGAATATTGGTGCTTGATGTTGATAAGTTGTTGGTGGTGTACCAAGTGTATTACCAGAGCCTGCCATTGGCATGCCACTTGGAATCATTCTGGCTTGTTGCATCATTGGGCGATATCCGTATGACATGCCTTGATGTGCTGTGGGATACATGAATGTTTGAGGAAGGTAATTGGATGGTATTGGAGGAATCGATTGAGGCGCTGCTAATTGTTGCATTGAAGATTGGATTTGTACAGGTCGATATACAACTTGCTGCTGAACTGGCTGTTGTTGCATATATCCCATTGATTGTACAGGTTGCTGTTGCATGAGACCCATCGACTGCACAGGCTGTTGCTGCATATATCCCATTGATTGTACAGGCTGCTGTTGCATGAGACCCATAGACTGCGCAGGCTGTTGATGCATAAGTCCCATCGATTGAACGGGCTGTTGTTGCATGACTGTCATCGACTGAACAGGTTGTTGCTGCATCATACCCATTGCTTGCATTTGTTGTGGTTGTAAAACACCCATAGATTGGACTTGTTGCGAGTTCGGCATCATCATCATTGTTGTTGTTCCTTGTGGCATTGGTGCTCCCATCGGAACTGGTTGAGCATATTCAAAGCTTGATGCGGACGAAAAACTTGGATCATTATCGAGATTGGCGTGATACGCAACGGGTCGTCCTGTTGAACCTGCAATAGAATGAGCTCGATAGGGGTTAGCACCGCCCATAACACCATTCGAAAAAGAAGGCAATCCGTTGCATGGATTACCGAACGGTGAGCCCGGTTGACTATAGCCACTTCGTAATGGTCGATCAACTTTAATAACACTATTGAAGAACAAATATGAAAAGAGATAATATCTAGACAAACAACAAACCGTGTTCGAACAATCGGTGGTGGTGCTTCTTCCTGCATTTCTTTTTGAATGATACGCGGCGGTGGCGTACGAGGTTGTTCAATGACACGTTCAACAATTTCCTGAGCTTGTGGTCGAATGATAACCTAGTCGATTGAGAAAAGTAACATCAATATACAGACGTTATTTCCGATAGAATACATACACGTTCCATAACGGGTGCTTCAGGCGTTGGAGCTCGTTCGACAACACGTTTGATGATTGGTGGTGGAGTTGGTGCACGCACCACATCACGTGGACATCGCTTCTCTCGTGTAATCATCCGACCACGGTATTCATATTCATCAGCACTTTCGCTATCCGATGAGAATGATCCCGGTGAATATGACCTACAAAACGAAAGACATATTCAAAAATCGACTGATTCACAAGAGGGACCATCGACTTGTATCCTCCTCGATGATTATCATACATATTCGTTGTAACAGCAGCTGGATAGCCAGATAACATTGATGGATCAACCCCATAACCATTGACAGGAGGTGCCGCAGCAACCGTTGCTGCACCATTAGGATACACATAACGATAGGACATTTCTTTTTTTAGTGTTTTTGATATGCACACGAACAAAGTAATGTGTCTGTATTAATGTGAAAAGAATGCTATTGAACAGATCAGTACTTTCATTTGTTGACCATCGCCGTTCCGCTTCAGTTCACTGCATGTCTACATACGTATGTGTATATATCGACATACAGATAACGATCATCTATATGAATCGTGAATGTGGTCAAAATAAAAGGAAATATCGCGGAGACGGGACGGTGACCTCCCCATTTTTTTATATTTTTCTCCATACACCATCGCGATACAAGGTGAACACATAGTTGTATTTATTCATAGATAAATCAAAAACAAGAAAGAAAGAAACGTTGAACTATTTAATATCGTTCTCTTCTCATCTATTTTCTCTCGGACTGTTTGATAAGCCTTTTAAAAATAATAGGTTTCATCATTGTTCGCAAATAGAAGTGATCATAATAAAATTGATGAATTTCTTTCGTTTTTCTTTATTTGTTGACAAGGAAAATGGAAGATGACATTCCATCTGATGGTTTTACAATTTTTATTTATATCATCCATTATACAGAATACTTTAAGTTCGAAACATGTGCACAGATGTCGTTTTCAAACGAAAACGAAACTGTGTGTGTGTGAGAAGAATGTTCGAAATCAAATCGTTATTCCACATTTCATTTTCCCAAGCCTGATGCGAATTTCTCCGCGGCTAAACGTTTACCCAATGCCGAAGCAAACTTTTCAGCCACCAAACGCTTTCCTAGGCCACTTGCGAACTTTTCTGATGCTAAACGTTTGCCGAGTCCACTAGCAAACTTCTCTGAAGCTAAGCGTCTGCCAAGTCCACTAGCAAACTTCGCTGCAGCCAAACGTTTGTCTATCTCGAATTCTTCCTTGCTAATGTCATCCCATGGGTCATCATCGTGTAGAAGTGAAGCTGATTCTGCAACAGTATTACAATGAAAAAGAACTAGAATGGCGAGAAGACCAGCAATAAGAAGAAATTGTGTCTGCATAGTTGTTCAAAAATAGATAAGAGGACAATATTTGATAAAATATATAGATGTTGATAGTAGACTGCTTAACAGGAACTATAAAAGAGACAAACAAGAAAGTTTTTATAAGAAATCATCTAACAAATTGGTAATGGATTTGATCAACAAGTTAATGAAAACAAAAACTGACATGAATATCATCAGTAAACATATACAAAGGCACGAGAGAGAGAGAGAGAGAAATAAAGAAGCGATCATCTCGTTAGACATAGTCTCATTCTATAAATTCTCAGATTCTGTATGTGTCAATAAGAATGATATAAGCGTAAAGCGTGTTTTGACACGAATATTTTCCTCATCTAAAACTTCTATATATGTCAGTTTCCGCAAAGATAAACATCTCAACATATTCGCTTCTTTTCTTATTCTCTTCTTTATTCTTCTTTTTTTTTAATGAAAAGCAAGATAATAATAATAATAACTAAGGGGTACCAAATGAATTGAATATGAACGTCTCAACAACCAACATCAGTTCTACTTTGTTTGCGCTCGTTCAATCGTTTCCTTCAACTTTCAGATGTTCATTAGATTCATAGTCAAACAAGTGCAAACATCATTAATTCGTTTCAAGGATATTCGATACGTCTATTAATTATATAAAAGAAAAGAAAATGTCGATGACCAATGAAAATACTGTATACAAAGAAGACAATAGCAGAACTGAAGGTTTTCTTAATAAAAAAAAGATTAGTATCAATCACAGAATAATTAATTTGATAATCGAACAGATAAATCCAGGAAAATCGTTCTACTCATTATATATGACCTACCTTGTCTATGGGAATAGATAGAACCACAAATGATTTTCTATTCGCGTCGAAAAGAATTGATTAGAAGTGTTTACAAACACATACACACCTTGTCTCACAAGAAATGAACTAAGAAAAAAAGAGTCAAGTATTCTCTCTCCTCTTCTTCGTCTTCGCTTATTTGTTCTACTCGATCAGGAATTGCAATTGCTATTATATAGACCAAGTCTCGTTACTAGTGAGAGATAAAAAAGAATAAATACAAACTTTTTCCTCTCATCTTTCTCGCCTATGCGAGAACATAATCAAAAATTAGAATATGCAATACACATGTCAAAGAACATCTCCTCTGGCTTTGTTCGCATGATCTATGGCATAAAATATTGATCATATAGAGGCGTACACAAAAAAGGAAATTAAAGACAACAATTATATTCTTCTGCTACTATCTCCTAATGATTTTCCTCTGTCTATGTATCATATTTTATCGAGAAAATACATTAGGTAACTGAAATTTGTCTACTCGAACTGCACTACGTTTTGAATACTTTTCAAGAACAAATTTTCTTCTGAATAATAACATTAAATTCTTCTGCATGAACGATACTTGTTGTAAGACGAAAGATTATACCCTATGGATGAGTGATATTTCTCCTCCTTCTCGATATTGTATCAGCTACTCCGCACGAAGAAAATCGAATTTCATTGGCAGAAAACAACAAACTCATGACACAGGCAGTACGCTTGATTCGAATCACCCTAAATACATCGGAAGTATTTTCAGGTAATTATAATCGACTAACCATTTGAAAGTATTTTAATAAGTATAAAACCTTTACTTTTGTCAAAGGACATGAGCTGTACCTCCTGATAAATAAAATACCTGTTCTCAATGCTCTTCTGAGTTGTACGTGTGATATTATCCACGAACGTCATTTCCTTCCTACACTTGTTGTCAGTACATTTGTGGAACTTGTCAATTATTACTAGATTATACTCACCAGCGATGCTTTGTTTGACATTTCATTTCTGTTAATGAATACTTTTATCATTTTCTGCGCTGTTTATCTTGGCAAAGCATCCAATTTGACAATATATAACACTCTTCAATGGTAAATTTAATTTTTTGCATTACTTTAGCATCGATCGCGACATGATGGATGAGTACGGAAATCATAACAGACAAATCATCGTAGAAAACAAAAGCATCTAACTACAATGCGGCATCGATTGAACAGGGAAACCTTCGATTCGATATGTTGTGATAATTCATCATAGAAACTCTGTGTATGATGGTTCAACAGCTAAAGGTAATCAGTATGTTTCACAGTTTTTTCAATTCAACTGATTATTTAAGAATGTTCTATCAAAGAAACAGCTAGATTGTTTTTAATTATTCCCTGAACGAAAGATAATATTTCTAAATATAAAACTCAATTTATTCCTAAATCAACATTTTGATGTTTGACTCTTGTTGTTTTTCTTCTGTTCCATCGAAGGTTATTTCGAAAAACAAACGTCATTACTACATATACTTTCACAGAATAGATTTTATTTATATGCAAAATATCCTTTCTTCCGACATCACGAAACATCGTGAGTAATTGTTGTGTAACTTCATTTTTGATATATATCATAGTTGACATTTTTATATAACCGGTAAACATATTTACAACTGATTATTAACTTGTCGATTCTTTCTCATGAAAAGAAAAATAATCGTCAAATAACAGAAGACAAACTTTCTTCCTTCGTTTCTTGCTCCAGTAAGCCATTCATGTCGAAAGTATTGAATTTAGCTTTTTCACTCGTCGAAGTCAATTGAATAAATCGACGTTTTGCTATGGATTCAAATTCCGGTGCACAATTTGATCATCTACTTTCATCTACTACGAATACACACGATATTCTTGTTATTATCGGATTTCTCACCGTCTGTTTCATATTATTTCTCCTATTCTTACAATTGCTTCTCAAAGTACGACAAATCTACCGTGCAAGTGAACCGAACGTCACTGATAATCGCCGACGACACAACTGTTTCCAGTATTCATGTCTTCCCGCATTTCATTGCATCAAACCCACTTGTCAGATATCAAATTCATCTCTCACGTATGAACGAATCAATAAGTCCGCATCTCGAAATTCTTCTTGTATTCGGATCCATGTCATTGAGTAATTTTCTTTTTGGTGAATTATCATCTAATTTTGTTTTTTCATTTCACATTACTCGCATGAATGACAAAAGAAACTGAATACATTCTCATTCGTTGTTGATCTCGCAAAATAAACTCTCGATGGATTCGATTAACTGATGACAAAAGACAAATGCGTATCTTACTTTTGTTTGGCGTTTTCTTTTTTATTTATTTAATATATTCAATGACATACAGAGTAATCTCATCATCGTTTCATTTGACGAAGCATCGCACTAATGAAGTCATTGAAAAGGAAGAGAAGAAAAAGAGAAAATTTCGCGTTTCTTTTTATTGTTCTTTGATTTCAGATTGACTATGTGCAACATTGCCCATTTCGTTGTCGTTTAGTGCGGAGCGTTTCCAGAATTTGCGTTGAGGTGCACGTTTCCAAAAGCGTGATTTGGCCGCGCGTGCACTGAGAATATGAGCGGGATAATAACTATCAGTATCTTCCCAGTCAAGATTGCCAACAGCTGTCAATCCATCGATATCTGCTGAAGAACTTGCTGAAAGTGCCATGCCAACGAAAGCAATAAATAAAAATAAGATTGCATTGATGAATGTTGTACGCATGATGACTAGGAAAATGGAATGTAAACATTTTGCAAGTATAAAGAACGATATCTCGATTTACCTGATTAGAGATGACTGAAATGATAGCTACTCAAATGTCGAATAACAATGATAATGTGAATAGAAAAGGAAACGACTTCGATATTAATATCTCTGAGATTTCTCTTTTTCGAGATATGAGACTTTCTCTTTTTCTCGTCTTGCAACTCTTCTTTTTTGTCTCTCCGATCACGTACATTGAAAAATCTCTTTCTCGCCTTTTCACGGATCGAATAATAGATACATTATCTGCATCAAATGCACTTAACTATCTCAGAGATTTCCGTGATTTCTTCGCTTTAAATAAACACTCAAAGAAATCATGAAATCTCATTTGAGCACACTTCATCATTCTAATTACCATTACACATCAATGTAATGTCAATCTATATCATGTCGACAAAAGAGAGCAAATGAATGGAAAAGACATCGATATGCATAACATGTATGTCTCATGCACGATCTCTATGTATATGTTAATGGCTATTAATGTAATTGAGTTAACAAGAGAGAAAATCGCGAAAGGTTACGGGTCTATATCGGAAATCTGAAGAGAGTCGATTATTACAGATCAAACAACGGTAAAGACGAAGAAATTTCTTTTTTAACTTTCGATGTTCCGAGTAGGTCACTTGAAGGAAGGTAACATCAAAGAAAAGTCTCATTTTAGATCTAAATATGCCGCAATCAAATACTATTCTCAACTAATCGCTAGTATTAAAACAGCAAACTTTGTTGATACTTAGTTTCAACACAATATATGTCCTTATCGTTGTTTATTTTCTTTTATTACTGTTATTATGAAGCAACTAAACTAATGCGTTTTTAGCCAATTCATTTTAAATGACTATAATTTTGTTTGGGCGTCGGTTTGAAGAGTAAACAGAATGACGGTTAGTCTGCTTTTCAAATAGTTTATGAATTAAATCGCTCACTCAAATGTAGAGCATTTCATTTCGGTTAATTTTAGAATCCAAGACATCATTAATATTTCTATTTCGAGAGGAAATCTCCTGATTTGTTGATATATCTTGGCCTTCAACACAGAAATTTGTTCATTGATTGTCGATCTGGATTTGGTCTTTGATGAAATTTCACAGAATCGCAAGCGCGACGTTCTTGCAAAGACCTACTAATCACAAGTTCTCCCCACAAAGAATTGATCTTATGTTGAATTAACGATCTCTTTTTTTGAACACTTTTCCAATGAATGAACATCGAAATCTGCCTGTCTTCTTTACACTAATGAGCTTCTAAATCTCTTTTGTTCGAGTGTTTTCAAAGAGAATGCTCAATAAAAATTGATTTCTTCGTTTTTCTCTACTGCAATGATATAATTTCGAGATTTGTTGATTGTCAATTGTTTCCCTAAGCACTCCCGGAAGGTAGAAATGGACATAGTAATCATTTGATTCAGTCATATGAAATTGAACACAAGATATTGATGAAAACAAAAGAATACAACCTTGAACAGCTGATTAAAACTTTTCTTTCATTTCCACAAGTGACATTTCAGTCGATTTACTCGAAAGAAACGACGAAATTAACTGTTCAGACAGGTAAGATTGAAGTAAAAGTTTAATTGACTCAAATCAAATAATGTACTCAAAGAATGGAGCCTTCGTTCGATCAAATAAATAAAAACATTGTAAAAGATTTACTCAATTAATAATTCTATTGCATGTCAAAGAGAAAAAAGTTATTTGCAATTAATGATCATTCGTTATTACTAGAGAAATTAGTTAAATTGCTGTTTTTTTCAATACCTTGATGAGATTTCTTCTCAAATATTCAAAATGGTTTTATGTGTTATTCCTAGTGGTAGTTATATTAGCAGCAGCAGCAGTATTTCTCCGTTTGTCTTTGTCTTCGAAAACTGAACAGTGTACTCCAGCAATAATGAGCGCAGAGAGCAAATGCAAAAGAAACAAAAATGAGAAAAAAAAACGAGACAATGACAATGACGAAAAAAAAAATGAAAAGAAAAGAATGAATAGCAAATAAAAATGGAAAGAAGAAAAAGAAAAAATCTCATAAATACACAAGTTTTTTTTTTATAGTTATGATGATAGAACAATAAAGACTTTAGCTTATTTGAAGATTCGGCGAAGTTTTTCTTTCCTCAATAAAGGAAAATAAGTATATCTCGTTCGATTTTCTCTCTCCCACTCTTTCTCTTGCTATGTCTCATGCACATACACCGGGGTATCTGCTCGTAGCCTGATTAGTTGAAAATTAAGCAAAAGAAAACGTTTTGATGGAATTTCAAGGGAGAGAATAGAAACTACAGGAATGAATGATAAAATATCACAAGAAAGAGAAGGAGAGAGAGAGAGAGAAAGAAACAGAAACAAAGTGAAGTCAAACAGCAAACATTTGAGGAACATATAAATCCGAATCATTCAAAGATGTCGATAGATCATCAAGACCAACAAGTCCATTGTTGCCACTGCCACCATTCAGCGATGATGATGGATCTGTTGACGTTCCAGATGAGTCATTATTACCATTTGGTGCATACATTGTTGCATAAAGACGACGCTAAAGATTCAAAGAAATGTGTACTGATTACCACCTGTCTTGGTCTTTTTACCTTTTTGGCTTCATTCTCCATTGTTTCGTATTGCTCAGAGTACAAATCGCAGTGCAGATCATTGTGATTTGGTATCAGCCCTCCAAGATTGACATTCGGGTTGGAATTACTACCGCCGGTTGTATAGATATGATGTAAATCTAAATGTCCGTGGTGTAAATGATGCAGTTCACTGTGCGGTAATGGTAATGGTTGAGCTAATGAATGATGTTGTTGTTGCTGTAAAAGATGATGATTAATATTCATTTGTTGTTGTGATGGTGGCTGTTGTTGGGAAGGATCTAGATAAGGTAATTCGATCAGTCCATTTTTGCCTTTATTCGTTGTTACTAATGTACGTCGAACTATAGGTCGTAATTTATACAAAGGTGGTTCAGGTGTATTCGCTGTGATACATTTTGGACATAGCCACGTCTCAGGTATATCGTCACTGAACACACCTTCGCTAGTAGACGCATCGGGATGAGCAGTCTAGATAATCAAATGATGTGAAATCAGAAAAAAAAAACAGAAAAAGCAAAGGAGGAAACATACATGAAAACACGGCAAATGATGTATTTCCATACAGCGTTCACATTCGTAAAGAATTTCTTCCGGTTTCAATTGTGACAATTTTCTCGAGCCTTTCTTCTTTGAACATACTTGACATGATGCAGTCGATGGTAAGATCGGGGCAATGCACTGTTTAGTTAAACAACATTGTTTCATTTTTCCAACACCACCAAATTTGGGCATATCTTTACAATGTACACATTCAGAACAATCATCACGACAACAGGGTTCACATTGTTTACATCTAATTGAGATAAATCGTCATGAAAACGATTTTTAGAAGAAAAAAAAGAAATGTAATCTTACCGAACACGTTTATGTCGATCTTTTGCAGTAGATGTTTTATCGGTATTCGTCTGATAATGTTGTTGTGTAGGTGTTGAAGGTGACGTTGTTGTACTATACTGATTATTTCCATTTGTATGATGATAATTAATCACATAATGCTGCTGCTGTTGTTGTTGTTGTTGTTGTTGTTGTGCAGCATAATAATTTGCTAAATTCGATTGTGTTTGTTGTTGGGGTGAATTGGAGCTAGCTAATGGTCCGCTTAGAAGGATAGTCGTTGATGGATGCAAGGTAACAACGTTTGTTGTTGTCTGCTGATGTTGTTGCATTGATAATGTTTCATATTGGCGATGATGTGACGATTGTTGTTGAGCATGATGATGAGGATGGTGGTGGTGAAGATGATGTTGTGGCTGATGCTGTTGTTGGTGGAATGACGAATGATGTTGCTGTTGCATATCGTCACTGCCCGTACTGCTCTTGCGCTTTATACCTCGTAGAGTCTCCGTTATCGTTGTTCGTTCGTTCTGAAACATATGATGTATCTTATGTCACAAACTATACTCAACAACTAATATGATACGTGCGTATACAAGTCGAGTCAACATGACTTTTGTAATAGTTTATTTAGAGCTCCGACTCTATGTACATGTACCGTCTTTTTCTTCTTTTAATGAACCTGTTGTCTCTGTCTATGTCTATTGTCTTAGCTTACCTGACTGTGGTGATTTGATTCGATAGATAGTTGTTTTTGATTATAGTTGTAGTGAAGTTCCGTTTGGTCAGTTCTTGTTAAAGAATAATCGTTTGAAACATGATCAATAAGAAAATGCTGAAAGATAATGCGTTCAAAAGATTACGTCATATTTATTCGAACCCAAGGTTGCAAAAAAAGGGAAAAATGCGAGGTTAAATGACCAAAAAATGTACGTATGTATTTATAGACAAACATAAGCTCTTTTCTCATGTAAATATCTTCTCTCAACAGGTATATGGAGACATTCTCATACTTTTCTTTTTAGCAATAAGATATTCATTCTTTTTTTTTGATCAGGCTTCTTTCAAAATTACTTAAACAGAACAAAAATATAAGTTAATCAAGAAGTTGTCAGGAAACCTTAAAGTGAAATTTTTCTTCTTATTTATCGAGAAAATTTTTTTCTCAAGAAATTGATCCTTCTAAACGAGAAAAAAAGAGAACGAGTGTGTGTGCTGAATGCTTGAGATAACGAAAGACTAACGACCGAATTTATTTAATAACAGATGCAATCTCATGGTTGGAACATTCCTTCATTGTATTGATCTCTAATATAAGAGCGACCTTTTCCAAAATGAAATCTCCATGAAAACTTATTCGCATTGTTATATCTCAAGAATCAATCAACAAAATTGATAGTATTCACAAGATAAATGAAGAGAAACAGAAAACTCTTTCAGTTCAATTTACCTCCATTGTATTCGAAAGCTGTTGTGTCTGTACAAGATCTTCCGGGATCGAGTTGTCTTTCAATTTGTGTCCAAGTGTACATAGTGTTGCTGATGCGTTCAGTTGTGGCGCTTGTCGAAAGATGATTGTCGGTACTAGTGTTTACAATCGTTCTTAATAAGACCCGTAGTTTCTACCACCAGCAATCGACTTGTTCGACAAGGTTTCAGATCTAAAGACATGGCAATCAATCGCACTCAACATAGAGAAAAAATGAGACAAAAGAGGCTTCCTTTTTTGCTGCTCATCATTTGAACACAATAACAATGGACCTCTCAAAGAACCGGAGGAGAAGGAGAAAGGATAGCAAGTAATAAGAGTGTATATTAAAGACAAGAGACACAACATGATGTTTTTCAAGAGAGACAGTAAAAAAAGGAACTTGATTGAGCGACATATTTCTACCTGTATACGCTAATCGATCGCAATTATTTATATATCTATATCTATGAAAAGGAAAAGAAAAAAAGAGAGAGGAAGAGAGAGAGAGAGAAAGAGCGAAGGCGCAAGAGAAGATTTTGTAGAACCAAAATTCGAGAATATCAAGACAAGTAAAAAAGTAATGATAGAAATAAATAGGAGTAACGAACAAGAATAAAGAAGAAAAAAAGAAGGGAAAACGGCGATTGTGTATGTGTATGTGCGAACAACGAGTTTTTTCCCTTTTTCGCCTCTATGCGTTCATTCATAAAAGATTTGAGTAATTTGCACACAGATTTCTTTTCTTCTTATTCTCTCCCCCTTCTCTCTCTCTCTCCCCTTTCTTTGAGTGATCAGAAGACAGAAATAGTAGAGAAAAGGGAAGGAAAAATTTGAACAAAGAACAAGACGCAAGCGCGCGTCGTGCGTAGCGAGAACATATTATTATGATTGTGTGTGTGTGATTGCACAAGCAAGAGAAAGTGATTGACGAGTGAGAACAGTGGAAGAAGGGAGAGAGAGAGAGAGAGAGAAAAACAGAGAGAAATGAGGACGTTGAATGATCAGGTTGTGAATGGCGGTAGTGCGCATTAATTATTCTCTTCTTCTTCTTCTTCATTCTTTTTTTAGTTTTTCTGTCATTTGAAACAAGAATTTGAAATTGATGGTTTTATATGCATATATGTTTCCAAGTACAGCCAGTTCTCCCTCTTTCTCTCTTCAAATTCATCAAAAATGTGTGTGGTTGTCCGAGAAACAGAAAGATTTCATTTATTAATTAGCAAACATGAAGTTTTCTTTCTTTTCTAGCACATATAAAGAAAAAATTAACAACAAAAATCAATGTCCTTATTCGTCTATTCTCTTTGCTTTCTTTCTTTTCTCTTGAAATGTTTGAGATTGTCAACATAAGACATAGACCAGACAAGTCATAGCGATAAAAATGTTTGTGTACTTGAATAATGAAATGAAAGTGGGAGAAGATCAGAATCAAGGAGGAAAGACAATTTGGGTAGTACTAAATGACAACAGCAAGTGAAGACGAGGCGAAAGAGAAGGATGATGATGATGATTATTGAACTTTTCCGTCTTAATCTTCTAACAAGAACATGTTTTAAGAGTCAAGTCAAGTAGTCAATCAAAATATGAACTATTTGATTTCTTGTTCTATTTCTTAATATAACTCCATTGAGATGAATTTTTATGAAACACTTTCATTCAACAATATATATATATATATATCAAAAGTTTGAAAAGAGCAGAGAACCGTCAAGACAGATGTGTAATGAAGGTTGAATTTGAAGAAGGAGAAAACTCACGATTCGTTTTTTTATTGTGAGTAAAGAAAATAACTGACAGATTTCGTTGTCGATTTTTTTTCGGTTCAATGGTCGGTATGAAAGAAAAGAATGATATTAAGGAAAAAAAGAGAGGAAAAGTTCTTCCTTTTTCTTCTTTTCTTTTCTTTTCGTACAACTCAATGACAATTGTTCACAAAGTTAATCGACACATTTTTTTTTATTCAGTCAATAGAAGAGAAGAGGAGAGAACAGTAAATCCTTGGAAAGCTGCTTACCGAATCTAACTCTTTCACGTTCACACACATATATATATATACATATCAATAGCTCTCCAATAATACTAGTCTTAGAAAGATATACATACATCTTAATATACTTGTTAACTCTAGTGAAAGATGATGATGGTGTTATTATCAAAATAGAAAATCATTCAACATGCTGCTGATGATAGTGAATGCTGACGACAACACGCCTTTGCGAGCTATTCATTTGTCTCATGAGACCGTGGAGAACGCGTGCGTACGCAGGAGGCAATAACAGCAAAAAAATCATTATGATCACCATCTTCTTCGTTTTTCTCTCTCTCTGTCCCTTCGTCGTTCTACACCCAAAGAGACTATTATCTGATTATCTTAAATACTTGCGCGTTTCTTAGTATGAAATACCAAGTGTTACCTCTAGAGTCTTGTTCTCTTGTTCCAGAACGAAACAACGAACGGAGATGATCACAAAAAAATTCCTTTCTCCTTTTCTGTTACTCTTTCTCTCTTCGCCTCTCATTTTCTTCATGTTTGAAATAATGAGACAATTGCTCGATTGTCGTGCTTGAATGTTCTCTGCCGAAAAGGTCAACAAATGAAAGAGAGCCAGTAAGAGATATAATGTCATAGTTCGTGTTATACAATTGTCATTGATAACTTCAACATCGAGGTCAATATTTTCGATTGAACATATCGATACAAATAGAGTTTTGCATACAAAACAATCTTCATTTATTCTTCTATTCTCTTTCAAGTAGACAAAAGACATGGATACTTCCATGTTTGCTATCGCATTGGGCCACACACATACAAATACATATTATATATATATATATAAAGGGAAAAGAGAGGAAGAGGAGCAGATCCGTTCCGGAATAATTCGAAGAGGAAGACATCCAGAATCGATAATTGACATCATGAGACAGAGGAGAGAGAGAGAGAGAGGCATGCTTGACAAGAGGAGATGCGCGTTCTCGCACACTTGATGAAATCGATGAACGGCAATGACGATGAATGAGAAAGCGTAGTTCAAGAGAGATAGAAGAAGTCAGTTTCTTTCTCTTATTCTTTTCCTACAACTCATATTCAACATAAATACATCGATTGATTATGCAAAAAGACAATTTCATTTAGAATTCACTTACTTCCTACTAATCTACTAATTCTGCATTAAATTTTGTTCGAAACTTTCTTGACGATCACTGCTGCCTACAACTACTCGTTGTTGTTTTTTCTTCTCAACTTATCGTTTCTACTCATTCCTCTATATGTATTTAACAACAAAAAGAAAGAAAGAACTAAATGCCGGAAAAATTAGTAGAGGAAGTGCTATGAAAATCAAAGCGACGCTAATTTAGACCAAAACTCTCTTTACTTTTTCTTACAAAACTTATTCCTTTTTTACTATTCGAATCTTTTATTGTCCTTCATCATCCTCATCTTCTTCTCGATAACAATAACAATACTTTCCGATTAACTTTTGTTCACAATACACCACAGATACAATTGACTTCATTCAAACCTCATAGACAAAAAAAAACCGAGGAACAAGTTCAGTGTGTACCTTTTAGTTTTATTCTCTTTGAACAAATTTTTCTCGTCTAATAATTAGCAGAGAACGAAAAGAGGAAAGTACGCAGACAGACAGAGCAGAGTCCAATGCCACTAATTCGATTATCTCGAATTGCAGTCTTCGTTCGTCCTCAAATTAACATGTTTGATTTTGAACGATTAAGCAACATTCTCATAATTTATAT